AGTATACACAAAACTAGGAGATAGGTGCATAGATTTATAACATCATCTGAGATCACCCCTAACATTGGATTAGTTTTGGCTGTTAAGGAAACTGGAAAGGAAACAAGAAATAACTAGCTTGAATATTTAACTCATTTCATCCCGAATAAAAGGAAAATTAACTCCTTCACACATGGCTGGAAAACATTTGCTCAAGCAGAAATTTGTTATATACCAGTTCATTTTGGGAAGCGTTGCACCCATTCTCTGCTGTTACTCTAAAAATGTATGTGGTTCTTGAGTAGTCAAAGTGCACCCTCTAGCCATGCATAGCTCTTCCCTCCAATGTGTTGTTTAAGCACATAGGATTTTGAGAACAGCCCCTTCCGTAAACCAATTGAGGGAGGAAGCTCAGTTGTACCCCCTGGATGGTGATCAGTTTCAGGATCCCAACACTGGGAGTAGGGAAAACTGCACTGTGTATTTGGAGGCTCCTTCTGCCCAAATAATAATCATGTGCTGTCAAGTCAATATTTCAGGCTCCCAACACTGGGAGTAGGGAAGACTGTTTGCACTGTATATTTGGAGGCTCCTTCTGCCCAAATAATGATCATGTGCTGTCAAGTCAATTCTGACTTACAGCAACTCTTTTCAGAGTTTTCCAGATAAAGAATGTTCAGAAGCGGTTTACCACTCCCTTCTTCTGACATTCTGCCCTAACCTGATTAATCCCTCATCAGAAGAAAGAAATCCCTCACCTTGAAATGACATTAACTAATGATTTATACCTGAGTCTTTCATTAAATCTGAATTTTAAGTGGACAAGCCTTATTATTCATATTTCCTGGACTAAGGGTATGAATTAGAATGCAGTTTCTTTTTGGTTTTAAGTTATTGGAATTTTGCAATTAAGTTCCTGGCTCAAAAACAGTACTCAAGGAATGATGTGTACATTGGATAGAAAAGTGTGTGCAAAAAAAGGGCATATTTTGCTGGAAAAGGACAAATTAAAAATAATATGGATATTAATACAATTTCTTTTCTATTATATAAAAAAAGAGAAAACAAAGTAATGAATGAATCCTACTATGGATTTACACTGGCATAAGAGTAATAGTGTAAACTGTGGCAGAAAATTGCTGTTAATGAACAAGTTGCCACTTGCACTTCTGCTTGTGTGCCAAATTGCATGACCAGCACAAGACTGGGAACACAAGCCTAACACTGCCATGGTGTACATAATTACACTGAAAGTAAAAATAAACCAGAATTCTGGATGATACAGAGGAGAAATAAGTGGGTCTGCTCATCCTTAGTCCACATATATACAGTATATGTGCCCTATAAATTGAATTTGTCGAAATTCTAAACTATAGCTATCTGTTACCATGGTTAACACAATTAAAATGGGCAATATTAAGGCTCCATTTGTACTGTATCATCTGGAATGATCGTTTCATTCATGTGTGTGTGTGTGTTTAGTCGTTTAGTCGTGTCCGACCCTTCGTGACCCCATGGACCAGAGCACGCCATTTGTACTGTATCATCTGGAATGATCGTTTCATTCATAAAAACTGGTAAACTCCTCACTTCAACACAGTTTTTGAAATATACTCAACATGGACCTTGACAATGAAAACATTTATTTATGTACATAAAATACCCACTGCACATATTTGAAAGCTCTGAAAGATGTTTACTTATCAAGGTCATAGCACTTCTAGAAAAGTGGTTCTCCAGATCCTGAAGGTCATTTGCCTTATACTGAATCTCAGCCTTGACAGCTTTCTAATAAAGAAGGAACACAGATTGATTTACTGTGTCTAAGTTGAATTTAGCTTGCTTATGCAAATATTTATCTCACCCAATTCCAAAGCCCAGGGCAAAACAACTATTTGTGTGAGAGTGCATCATCTACTAAGTGTGTATAATACGGTTGTTGTGGGTTTTCCGGGCTGTTTGGCTGTGTTCTGAAGGTTGTTCTTCCTAACGTTTTGCCAGTCTCTGTGGCCAGCATCTTCAGAGGACAGGAGTAGCATAATAGTAGTGTGTATAATATATTCAGGTCAAATAGCTATACATACAGCAGATCAAGAAAAGTTATGGAACTTCACCAAACCAAGTTCAACCACAGATTCAAGATAAAGTTCTACAACTCTGCTTGTAGCAGTCAAAAAGAGGATGAAGAAGGTGCCAGATTCAATGCCTCACCTCTCCAAAGATCTCAGGATGGAGGGCTGTAAAAAGACCTGTCTGACACCTTGAAGGTAATCTTATCTTAGAACTGCAGAGTTTGAAGGGTTATCATCAGGTCCAGCCCTTGTGAAGGAGGCGCAGCAGGGAACTGAACTCCCAACTTCTGGCTCCAGAACCAGAAACCAAAACCACCGAGCTATACTGCAGTTGAACTGGATACTTGAAAATCCACTCTCACAAAGAGGAAGGAACACCGAATCTGTATATATGTCTACAATATGTCTACACTGTACCCAGTTTAGGTTAGAGTACACATCTTGCATTTATTTTAGGAAAAAAAGGTGTCCATAGTCTACTTTTTTCACATGGCCTGGCTGTTTAAGTGACGTTTCAGTATTCTTATGTACAAAGTACATTTATACCACAGTTCTGGAAGGCAAATGCATAGTTAGACCACAGTGTTTCTTCTAAATACTTGCATGTGGGGAACAATTCTGTCTTTCTTAATTTTCCAGCAGTAGCACTGTTTTATGAGAGAATGCTTCACGCCGCCATTACTGAACCTTACCCTATGTATGCTGCCCACTGGTTCAATTAAAACTAGGCATATAGAGCTTCACTGGCTTCGTTCTCATACACAAAAAAGAGAAACTGTAAAGTTTTTTTCTTCCTGATCTGCAAGATAGCAAAATATTTTCCGGTGCGCCTAATTAGAGTTCTCATATTTGCAAGAACACTTTCTGCATAAATTGAGTGAAATGCCAAGAATTGTGATACAGCTGCTGCCATGTTGTATCTCCTCTTAAAAATCAGAAGTATTGGATGGAACATTTGTATCTTTGTTGTCAATCAACCAGTTTTTCTATGTTTGCTGTGTGTGTATCCTTTGCTTTAAAATGAACCCCAGAAAAGGTAGTACAGTATCTTTCAACAGAGACATGTCATGCAGATTTTGGAAACCTTGACCAAAACCCTGAGTTTTGTCTTGGTTTTGCACTCAAAGCAAGTACACTTTTAAAGTGTTTCAAAGTATTTGGACTGCTTTAGATTCTTTTAATGCGGTTTAATTCATTGTACCTTATCTTGAGATCCATAAAACAGGTTAGAATGCTTTAAGTAGGAACTGTTTGTAGCAATAAACATCTACAATTTCAAAGCAAATATTTAGACTGATGAAGTCAAGTAATAAAAAAGCAACACAAGACACCCCACCTGTCTTTGAATACAGCATACCTGAATCCTTGAGAAGAAGCCACCTAGCACTGGTTAAGAATACTTGCAAAATTTCAATTGCTAATGGGATTCAAAGACAGATGGGATGTCTTGTGGTGCTTTCTGTCACTTGACTGCATCAATCGAAACATTTGCCTTGAAATTTCCTTGAGTGCTATCTTTTAGTGGAAAGGCAGGGTATAAATGTTGTTGTTGTTGCTGTTAGAGACGGGCACGAACCTCAGTTCAGAGGTTCGTGCCAGTTTATATGTGTGGTAGCACAGATGTCATGCACTTCCTTCCCCTATTTCCCCGGCTGGATCCCCCCCCTCACCAGTTAAGAGTACACTCCTCTCTTCCTCCTCTTCAGCTGTTCAGCCAGTCCCTGGCAGGAGCAGAGGCTTACCTGTCCTGCCTCCTTGCCTGAGTGGACGATCAACCAAGGAGGCGGGGCAGGGAATCCTGTGCTCCTGCCAGGGACTGGCTGATCAGCCAAAGGAGAGGAGGAGAGGAGTGCACACCAGCTAGTGAGTGTGGGATCCAGCCAGGGAGGTGGGAGAAGGGAATGAGTGGTGCCACACATACAAGCTAGCACAACCTCCGAACCGAGTGTTGTGCCCATCTCTAATTATTATTATTATTATTAGTATTAACTTGTAATGCTTGCATACCAATAATAATAACAACGTATTATACTTGCATGTAACAACAACTTGCACAACCAGTTTTTAAAAATGTTCTAGTGAAAGTATACTGTTTTAATTATGTAGTATGAAGCTCTATGCAGGAGGCCAGACAAGCACCAAGAAGTAGGATAAAGATATTTTGCTTCATGCATATAGCCAGTACTGTACTGAAGAGGAAAACCACAGGTCATCTTGGGAATTACTAATTAAAGCTAATTTTTTCTAATTGTATTTTCTCACAAAATTATATTTGAAAGCCTGTGATCACATTGGCAAACAAGAAACGTGCGATCAGAACTGCTCCACACAACAGAAAGAAAAACCTAGACCTTTGCAGGTTTGAAAAGAAACTTCTTTGAAAACCAGTAATCTTACTTATTGGCCAAAATCCCACTGCATAAAATATGCTAACAGAAGAGTGAAAAGGTGCAACTGGCCCAAAAATTAGTTTCATGGCCAAGCCAGGACTTGAACCCAAGTCTCTTGAGTCTTAGCTTAACATTCTGAACACTAACCATTGCAACGACTAACAGGCTTCTCTAACATGCAGGGACTTGAACCCAAGTCTCTTGAGTCTTCGTTTAACATTCTGAACACTAACCACAGCAACGACTAACAGGCTTCTCTAACATGCAAGTTGTGCCCTAATTTAAAAAAAATGCTTTACTGATTGCTAACAAAGAGGCATGTGTACTGAAAAATATTAGAACATAGCTTTACAGGCACAAAATATAAAGTGTATGGATAATTTATAGTTAACCCTTACCATTTCAAACGAACACTTTAAGATTGCTATTCTGAGCAAAGATTAGATCCAGAGAAGTTCCTCTGAAGCCAACAACACAGATGAGTAAGTAAACAGACTCAGAGACAAGCATGTTCGCCTCCCTTTCAAGGTATCTGTTTCAAAACAAAAGAGACAATTACCTTGCCCTCTGTTTATTATTAGTCCTCTTCATTACCCATGTTCCTCTCCACGCATGGTAATTAAGGAGTACACACGTAATGTAATCTATCAATGGCTGGTTGGAACACTATATGATGCGTAATGGAAAAAAAAATTCAGAGAGGTTCAGCCGTACCAACTCCCTTCTCGCTGGTCTTGTGAAAGAAGCCAAATACAACGCAGATCATTAGTTTTATTCCTTTATTAGAGCTATTTGAATAGGACAGAGAGGCAAATATATTTCCAGAGCGACAAGTACTGAATGGAAACTGATGTTGAGCAAGCCAACCTTTCTACATATAAGAATGAGGAGGTACACACATGAAGCCGCTGATTCATCACCATGACAACGGTGCTAAACAAAAGGCTAAAGCCATTTCGAGGAGTGGCGTTCTTTGAATTAAAAGAAACCAAGGAGGAAACAACCTTTTCTTCCTTTATCTCTGGGAGGTTTTGCTGGCCTGTTTGGGTTTTTAACATAATTAGGTCCCAGACTGTAATTGTAACCTTCAAGCATGCACTAAGTGCAATTTTATGAAATTACAGGAATTGCTTTCAATAAAGGAAAACCGGCACAAACTTGCAGTTCAGAACCCAGATAATAGTTGGAATGGCCTAGGACAGTTTGGAATTATAGGCAGCCCTTTTTATTCACAAGACGCTTGACGTTTTTTATTGTGCTTTACTTACATCAACCAAGCGAGGTAGGCCACTGGGATGTTGCCTTGAAGCTCTCCATCTGCACAGGTTAATACACTCACTCAAGAAAATGTGTACAGTACTTCATAGCTTTATGTGGCATCAGGGACTACAGTGCTGTAATTCTCAATCAATAGCACATGTATCACCAGGGGGGTGCATAAGTAATCAAACTGGGATCCCCGGCTGTTAGCATGATTATTCTCGTTTTCTTTGTTTTACTTATAGCATAAGATTTATGTTCAATGTTCATAGGACTGTAATATTTAGAAAACAAATAGGCAACGATTCACTGCCCTTTCACAACTCCCCGAATTTGTCTCCTGAGGCAGCTGCTTCATTTCACTTAATGGTGGAGCTGTCTCCCTCTGCACTGGTATTCATCCTGCTTCGTACTCTCCAGGCTCATGATGAGTTGGGGCGGGGGGAGATCGCAAACTTGCAGAAAACTCTGCACATTTTAAGGCTAGAAAGCTGTTTCTTAAGTATGGACAAGAAACTGGTCAGAAATAATAAAGCAATAACAAAACAATCATGGTACAAGTCAGCAAGAACATGGATCAATTTATGCTGGAATGGAGGAGGTAGAATATAATACTGTAGCTCAACAGCTTTGCCAGACCATAATGGCAAATCATTCTCTAGTACAAGAAAGGAAAGTTTATACAGCCTTGCTTTTCAATCATTTCTTATACAGAAAAGTTGAATCACAATCTGTTCTAGCCACTGCTTATCTGAAATAAGGAAGGTAGTTGCATTACTGTGTTAAGCAGTTCTTTGGAAAATCTCACCTGCTATCTAGTATCATTCCTTGATCAAATGACCAAGGCCACAAGGGGTCATATAGCAAGGTAGTTTTGCTACCAGCCATACCTCTTCATGCTGTCATGCTGAAGCACGCTTTTGGAACTGCAGCTGAAGGTGTCTATCTCCGGACTAGATCAGATGGAAAGCTCTTTAATCTCTCTAGATTGAGAGCGAAGACCAAAGTCCAGCTGAAATGCATGCGGTCCTCTTCACCGATGATGCAGCTGTTATCACCCACTCTGGTGAAGAGCTCCAACAACTCATGAATCTTTTTCGTAAGGCCTGCCAAGATTTTGGAGCAACAGTCAGCCTGAAGAAAACACAAGTCATGGGCCAAGGCGTGGACTGACCTCCCTCTATTACCGCATCTACACAAGAATTGGAGGTTATTCATGATTTCGTGTACCTTGGCTCAACGATCTCTGGCACTCTGTCTCTAGATGTTGAGCTGGATAAATGCATTGGCAAAGCAGCCACCATGTTCTCTAGACTCACAAAGAGAGTATGGCTTAATAAGAAGCTGACAGCATACACCAAGATCCAGGTCTATAGAGCCTGTCTCCTGAGCATACTCCTGTACTGCAGCGAGTCCTGGACCCTTTGTGCATGGCGGGAGAGGAAGCTGTATGAGTTGTCTCCAATGCATTTTTGGTATCACCCAGCAGGACAAAGTTCCAAACAGTAGTCTTAGAATGAGCGGGAATTTTTAACATGTATACATTACTGAAACAGCAACGTCTACGCTGGCTCGGGCATGTTGTGAGAATGGTTGACAGTCAGATTCCAAAATATCAACTGTATGGCGAATTAGTACAGGAAAACCACCCCAGAGGGAGACTGCAGCTGCGATACAAGGATATTTGCAAGCGGGATCTGAAGGCCTTAGGAATGGATCTCAACAGATGGGAAACCTTGACATCTGAGCGTTCAGCCTGGAGGCAGATGGTGCATCATGGTCTCTCCCAATTTGAAGAGACCCTTGCCCAGCAGGCCAAGGCAAAGAGGCAGTCCCGAAACCAGCAAAATCAGGGAGCTGGACAGGGGAGAGATTGTATTTGTCTTCAGTGTGAAAGGGATTGTCACTCTCGAATTGGCCTCCTCAGCCACACTAGATGCTGTTCCAAGACTTCTATTCAGAGCATATTACCTTAGTCTCTTGAGACTGAAGGATGCCTACCCATACCTCTTCATTACATAATGTACAAGCTAGTGAAAACACAAGCAGGGAGAATTATAGAGCAAAAGGACTTGAAGCTGGGTCAGGATCCCTCTCCTCAGATGCTCCTTATAAATATAATCCCATTCCCCCAGGGATTCTTCAGCATAAGGTCCCAGACCACTCTTCTTGGGCATCTCCCCAAGCCCTTTCTTGCAGGTTCTCCTCATCCTCCTCTGGCCTTTCATGTTTCCCTTCTTTGGGTTCCCCTGCCAGGTTGTGCCCTTTTCCTACAGAAGCTTCTGATCCTCATTGCACAGGCTCGTCTGTCTGACAGCCTGCTTCTTCCTTCTTGGGCTCCCAGTGGCAGCAAGGTGCCTTGTATAGACGTTATCCGCTGAGGCAGGCCTTCTTTCCTCTCCCCTAGAAATCATCCTCTGAATCCCATGGTTGACATGACAACTAAAACCTCTGTTTGGGTCCCAGTTTCCCAAGAGAGATTGAGTTTGGTGGCCACTGTTCCTCTCCTCTGGATCGCCCAAGCGGGCTCCAGTGTAGGCAGGAATATTGGGTCCCCAGCTGGAGAATGACAGCACACCAACAGCAGCATCCATCAGAATGTTACTAAAGTGCCCTAGATACGTGGTCCTCAACCTTGGGCCTCCAGATGTTCTTGGACTTCAACTCCCAGAAATCCTGGCCAGCAGAGGCGGTGATGAAGGCTTCTGGGAGTTGTAGTCAAAGAACATCTGGAGGCCCAAGGTTGGGGACCACTGCCCTAGATAATACATTATATGCTGCCAAGCCGGAAGTGACACGGACCAACCCTAATAGGGCTTTCAAGGTAAGTGAGATATTTAAGGAGTGGCTTGACCAATTCTACCTCCCCAGCGAGTTTTCATGGCTGAGAAGAGATTCAAACTCAAATCTGGCACTTTGTCCACTACACCACATTAAATAATAGTATGAAACTGTAATACTCTTGTGCCAATCACTCCCTGTTTGTTCAGTTTTAGCAAGGAAGTAAGCACACACTACACAAAGGAAGAGCTGGGATTTACCAGGATTAACTAGCAACCCAGACAATTTCCTTATTCAATTAATCCCTAGCTCCTCTGAAAATGCTTTGATTTGTTGCAGTTTGACGCAGTAGGGTGGTGGTAAGGGACGACTTCAAGGTTTTCTCAAGCCGGGAGCATCACGCAGGACCAAAGCACACCAGAGGCCAATTAACCAAGCCTCAAATTGCCTTAGATTGGACTTCAGTTTGTTTATACACCAGTGGTTTCTGTGGGTGGAAACAAACAACTCTTCCCCCTGCATCTCCTCCATTTGATTCAATCAGCTGATATTTCTCTTCCAACAGCTCTGTAAAAGGTGAATATCCCGAGAGACTTTTGCTGTGTGCTGGGCAGAAAAAGCTGAAAATCTGACTGCTACATTACCCAATTGCCTGTTCCTTGCCCAGATTTCTTCGCTTTCCACTGGGTTTCATCCTTGCTGTTAAAACCAGTTTTTTACAACTTCCAAAAAAAGGCTACCCAAGTGAGGATTTGAAAGGATCTGACACTTGATGTGTTGCTCTCAGCAACTGAGAAAAAAGTGTTCAGTCCTGCTTGATGCTAAAACTGGACCTCCTAACAGCTGTGCCTACAGCACTTTCTGGACATACTTTCAAGCTTCTTCTGGTGACAGGAAGCTGATCTGCACTGAGTGACCGCTTTGATCTATTGAGCCCAATATGGCTGACTCTGGCTGGCAGTGTCTCTCCAGCATTTCAGACAAGATACGTTCCTAGCTCTGCCTGTAGATACCAAAAACTGATTATGTCCTCTCATATGCAAAACATTCACTCTTCTACAAGGGGCAGCCCCTGACAATTCTCTCTGTGTAGCATTTTAACACTAGTGATATTTTGGAATGATCTGGTATTGGCTATCCTCAAAGATAGCAAGAAGCTTTCTTTGCTGGTTTCCAGTGATATGGATACAGGACTGAAACCAAATCTGAGCATCGGAATGTGTGAACTAGGCCAGGGAGAAGTCACTAAGAAGAGCTAGAGAAAGCCAAGAATGTTGTTGTTATGAGCTGTCAAGTTGCTTCCAACATATATGCTGACTTTATGAATGAATTACCTCCAAGAGGTCCCAATACTAGCATCTCTGCTCAGGTTTTGCAAACTTCAAATGACTTACAGAACAGATGGCTTATCAATAGCCTGTAGATTCAGTTGATCTGTAGCTGGGACTAACAGTTGGACTCAGCCTCCAGTGAAATTATGGATTCCCTTGCCAAAATAATCCCAGAGGGAATGCACAGGGAGATGACAGAAATATTTGTTTGCCAATTGGAAAGTGGGGATCCTGGAGAAGCATGGAAGTGTTTTTAACTATAGCTCCCTTCATGCAGAGGTAACACAAAACATACTTAACACAGAGCAGATTGCCTAAGCAGTCTTCACATCATGACACTATAC